CTCCAGGCCAATGGCTTCCCCGCAGCTAGTGACAACCCCCCCCCCCCCCCCCCTGACAGCCCCCAGCCCCCAAACCGGGGCGGCTCCTGGTGCGAGAGAAGGGCACCTACTTTGTCCTGCGAGAGTTGCACAGGTGGGAAGAGGACCGTGGGGTCCGCGCTGCCTGTGAAAAGCTGATCCAGGTGAGTGGGGAGCCAAGTGGGCCTCTGGACCCTCCCCTCACTGGCGGCAGGGGGGGGATTTGGGGCCTCAGCCGGTTTGCCCTGAACAGGTCTTGATTGGTGATGAGCCCGAGGCTGGGATGGAAAACCTGCTGGAGGTGAAGATCCCCACAGAGGTGGAGCAGCAGCTGCAGCGCCTGGACCAGCAGGAGGAGGAGGAGGAGGAGGAGGCCCTGCTGGGAAGACTTGTGTGAAAGTGGAAGGAACCCCCCCTCCCCCTCCAGTGCTGGGCGAGAAAGAACGTCCTCCTTTGTGGCTGGTCTTGGCATTTGGGCACCAAAATCCCCGCCCCGCCTTGGCTGCCAAAGGTGCTCCTTGGCACGGCCTAGAGACTGAGGGTGCCACGAAGGCCATTACTCTGCAGCCTGGGCAAGCGAGAGCTGGCATCCCTCCAGCCCCAGGAAGAGGGGAGGGAAGGGGGGGGCTGGGGCTCCCCTCAATAAAGGCTGCGGGGCACTTTTCCTCCTGCCTCGGACCTCCTGCCTCGCTCAGGGAAGTGGGCAACCGCCCCAGGTGCTTCTGGCTGTCCCTGGTCCCGTGTTGTAGGGGCACAGGAGGTGAGGGAGCTTGGGTAGACACTCTCTCTGATCTGCAGGGGAAGGGGTCCCTCCCTTGCTGGGGAGGGGGGGTCTCCTGGCTGCCCGCTCTACTTGAGGGGGGAGGCAGCCCCTCTGCTCCATTGAAACCGGGCAAAGGGGCAAAAGGGGGGCAGGGTGGGGACCCCCGGCTGCTTTCAGGGCAGGAATCCAGCCAGCCAAGACCTTTGCTGTTGGCCCCCTGCTGAAGACTCCCCCCCCCAGGGCCAGGGTGGGGAGGGTGGACCCCGCAGGGGAAGGTCTCTGGCAGCTTGGGAGACAGAAGGCCAGGCACAGCTTTCCTGGGTGGTTCTGGGGGGGG